TGTTGAAGGTTCAGCATAAGATAACGATATTACGGAAATGTTTCTACAACACTTAGTGAAGTAATGATTCAATGACAATCAGGCCTCAGGAAGTATTTATTTTGTACTTGTGCATCATATTAATTATGGTCTTTGTCCTTCCTCTCTCTCCAGTGATTTAATAATGACTTTTATTCATAATTAACTCAATGTACCTACATTTTATACAATGACAATAGCGATAATTCATTTAAAACTTGATTTTCCTCCTTTGATTTGTTTTTGTAGCTTTGTAACTTTTGAAGTAGTGACTCAAGTCTCGAGTGCACGAGTTCACCACAAACCAATCACTCTAATCTGAAGGGAACACTGGTGCTATGACTGTTTCTTGTATGCATGAGCAGCAAAACAGCAAAACAACAGGGCAGTAAAGACACAACAATAAATCGAGCAAAGTGAGAAACAGCTCAGCAATGCGTGATGTTGACGATGTCTCTTTCCCGTCAGGCGTCTCTGAACAGCTCCATGGATTCCCTGAAAGCTGAGCTCAACACAGCGCTGCAGTGTGACAGAGAAGCTGAGGATGAGGTGAAAAAGCTCAAGGTGAGAAAAGACGTAAAAAAGAATTAAAATCGAAGAAAAACATCAAGTTTTCACTCCCACTGACAACGTGCGTCATCTCATCCTCTGCTCAGGATCACACCGCCGACCTCAAGCAGCGCATCGAGGCCCAGTTCAGCGACCTGCACCAGTTCCTGTACCAGGAGGAGAAGCTGCTGCAGGTGAAGCTGAAGACGGAGGAGCGGCGGGAGCTGATCCGCCTGGACGAGCACAAGGCCCTGCTGTGCGTGGAGATCTCCCGTCTGCAGAGGGCCGTGCACGAGATAGAGGACAAGCTGAAGGAGCAGGACCCCTTCACCCTGCTGCGAGTAAGTTCTTCCAATACGAGGAATATGCAGTCCATCTGGAAGATATTAACATCATGATGAGTCAGCTTTGGGGATGATTAAGGCGAGAAATGCTGAGCTTTAGATCTCAAACTCTTTTTTGTTTGTTTCCAAAAGAAGACAAGAGGTGAATTATGGGGTTTGTTAGCTTTATATTTAGTTCATGGATCTTTCTTTCGAGCCAAAACGTTAAAAAGGCTCCGACATAAACATTCAAGATTTAAGTGAGCAGGGTGTGACCAGTTTGGCTTTCCTGTTTAGGTCTGAACACCACTCTTAAGGCCATAAACGTGTCGATCATGTCCATTTGCTTGTATTCCAAGAGTCTTGTTTGAAGAGCTGCAACATTTCTAATAACAAAGGAGGTAGAAAAAAAAGCAGTGAGCACAGACAGGAAGTAGACCAGTGAGCTCACTCATTGATCTGGAGGATAAGGAGTTGAACTCAGGCTCGGGGGCCACACGCTGGCGAATGCTCTGGGACTTTCCCCAAGCCACAGGGAGATCCCACAGGGCGGGACAGCGTGAGCTCAGACGTTGATGTAATGTGGAAAAAGCTTTCTCTTCTTTCAGAGACAACACAACTAATCACTCGTCTGTGTTTCTTTTCCTGTGTTTTCCCTGTGTCTCATTTCAGAGCATCAAAGTCTTGCTTCAGAGGTGAGTGTGGGTCTGGGCCAACGTCAATTTCATCTTGGATGAGATTCTGTTTTTAATTCTCTGTTGTTCATTGTTCTTCGGAAATGCTTCTTCTTAGCAGGCCGTCGCTGAAGTTTGAGAAACCAGCGTTTACGCCACCCAGTCTGTGCGAGGGCCGGTTTGCGGGGCCCCTGCAGTACAGAGTGTGGAAATCCATGAAAGGAAGCATCTACCCAGGTACTGGAAGTGGCCACATCTCACTTTTAAAATGGAAAGTAAAGACACTGAACTATGCAGAAACCAACTCTGATCATCTCAGCGTAAAGACGTTATAAAAGGTCAAGTAGGATTTAGGAAGAAAGGGAATAGAACATCCATAACTATGAATTAATAATAGCGTGAATGACACTACCTCCAACAATCCCCTTATGAAACCACATTTAAATTCCCCAGATCCAGTTTTTTATTTGGATCTGCACCAAGTTGCAAATATAACTCCTCTAAACATGCCAGATTTTTTTTCATCAAGATCCATGAACTATTCTCTGAGGAATCAAAGAAAATGCTGCAATGTTAAAAAAAAACCCTGGATCTGTCCCCTGATCCCGATCAGAACCAAGACTTTATGAATTCTTCCTTAGCTCATGCTTCACCCCTCCACAAAATGTCATTAAGTATTTTTTGCATAATCCTGCTAACTAACAAAGAAATGCAGAATGTTTCTACAGCAGCCCAGAATGGACAAACAAGTCAGTGACTCTACAGAGGGCCTTTTTTATTCTGTATGTTTACTGAAACTGAAGCGTTACGGTATTAGATCTCACTAAATCCTTCACATGCGTCCTTAACAGAATATTTAAAATCTTTTGTTTTCTTCCAACCTTCCTGTCTTTAGTTCCAGCAGCCATCACATTTAACTCCAGCACGGCCAACCCTTGGCTCAGCCTGACCTCCTCCCTCACCTGCGTACGCTACCAGACCTTCAACCACACGGTGCAGGACAACCCCTACAGGTTCAACGCTGCCCTGTCGCTGCTCGGCAGCCAGGGCTTCACCCACGGACGCCACTACTGGGAGATCGAAGTCTACAGCAGCACGGTGTGGACGGTGGGGGTGGCTCGAGAGTCAGTGCCCAGGAAGGGAGTCATCAAAGCTCTACCAGCCAACGGATTCTGGACTCTCTCCCTTTCTTATGGGATTCAGTACATGGCTGGCACCTCCCCGCCAACTGTGCTGTCCCTGGAGGAGCAGCTGGCCAGGATCGGAGTGTACCTGGACTACAAGAGGGGCCTGGTGTCCTTCTACAACGCAGAGAGCATGACACACCTCTACACCTTCAGGGAGAACTTCACTGAGACGCTCTACCCGTACTTCAACTTAGGCTTCCTGGATAAAGTGCATGAAAACGAGCCTCTCAAAGTTTTCTTACCAAAGATTTAACAAACTGGAAAATTGACAAAACAAAAGAGTCAAATTACAAACCAAACAAGAATGATTCAAACTGCAGAAAACAGGAGAAATCATACTTCATCATATACAGCATTAGATACATACTTGATATTAGACCTGTGTCCAATAAGGAGACATTGTTCAGTAGACTGGATCTACTGCCACACATTTCAGCTCAGAGAAGCTGTGCTTCACTGACGAATGTGAAACTTTCCGGTTATTCACCATTATGTGCTACTATGGTTATTTTGTAATCATTTCTTTTTGTGCATGATTCACTATTCAAGTAAAACTCATAATCAAATGGTTTTATTTTTGTTGAAATTTGACTGTTCGTATTTTTGTTGATTATATTGTGTCATTCTAACAATGTATTAGATGCATTCAGGAGCTTTGGGAAATGTCAGGCCTTGTGAAAACATTTTTATAGCTTTGGACATTTACTTTGTACTTTTGTACGAGCAAGAATTGAATGCCCCTGCTGCTGGTTGATCCACAGTCTGGTGCATGTTAAGTGGCACACAACAAAACACAGAACTATATGGGAAACCTTTTAATAAAAGTATTTGAGAATGATTCCTCCAAAGTGTTCTTATTATTCTACCACGACGATAAATAAAATACCAGAAGCATTTCATCACTTCCTGTGTTATCACTACATACATGCACCCAAGCAAACAGGTGACACGATGAACACCTAGTGTCAAGGTGCATCAAAGAAATGCAGCAATAAAGGCAGTGAAGAAGACTCCAGGCCAGTAAACATGGATGTAAGTTTCAAAGCTCTGAGTTTTATGATGAAGAAAAATACATCAAACTCATTTGTCAGAGCTGTATGACACAGGACACAGTTTACTTTGTTTTCAAGGAAACTCCAAGGGAAACCTTTAAAGGTTCAGTGTGTAGAATTTAGTGACATCTAGTGGTGACATTGCATGTTGCAGCTGAACACCCCTCACCTCACCCTCTCCTTCCAGCCTCTCCTTTATATGAAACGAACCTGTGAAAACATCATGAGGCTTACATTACATTACATTTCTACCAATAGATCCTTTTCACCTAAATCTTACACACAGGACCTTTAAAACAAAGCAGAAAAGCAGTGATCCATCTGTTATCTACACTGCTTCTCCTGGACTGGTTGCAGGAGCACTGGAGTCAATCCCAGCTAAAAGGCCTAGAGGCAGAATGCACCCTGGACAGGTCTCCAGCACATCACAGGGCCAGCATACAGAGACCAACAACCACTAAGACTTATATTCACACTTCTGGTCAATGTAAAGTCTCAACCTAACCTAAATCTGCATGCCTTTAGACGGAGGAAGCCGGAGTACCCAGAGAAAACCACGTTCACACAGGGAGATCATGCAAACTCCTCACAGGAAGAACCCGGTCAAACCAGGATTCGAACTAAGAACCTTCTACGGCACCACAGGGCCCAAGCAGACATGTGAGTGGTGTCCGTCTGAAAGGAATTATAATAGAGGCTTAAGGAGCGTGAACTCTTTCCCCTGTGACCACAACCAAGAAACAAAACAACTAGAATAAGCAAAAATACGACTTCCAGCTGGTGTTGAGTGTCTCTTGAGGGATATAAACACATGTAATGGAGATATATTGAGAAATATTGGAAAGACTCAAGTTCGAGGAGTTGATTTCCTCTGTTATCACGGTGCACGACTGTGTGTTGCAAAAAGATTTAAAGCACAAAAACACGAGTCTGAGGAAAACAGCACTTGTAGTCTGGAAACTAGTGGTTTAAAAAGGAAGCTGGAAACATACTGTGTGGGACTGTTCTGCATCTGAAAATGAAAAGCTAAAGCAAAGTAAAATGAAATAGATAGAATACAACAAAGTGCATAAAAACACAACAACAAGCCAAACTATATCACAATATATACATTTTATATCTTTGCAGTGTTATGACAATCATTCAATACAGGCTGAATTTACTCAAAACAGTCACTTCAAACTTTTCCTCCTGTGCAGCTATAATTTTTCTGCGTGGTTTCACTCTCCAGCAGACGTGAATGTGAAGTATGCGTCTGCTGGTGTTTGTGGTGTCAATCCCGTGCATCCACTCCTCGTCTGGAAAAGGGCGTGTTCGACCAAATGCTAGGGGTGAAGTCTGCGATTTGGTTTGGGGCTGGGATCAGACAGTCAGAGTCACTTGCTCGCGTGTAACGTGTCCTGGAACTTGGTGCTCGTGTAGCGTACGTGAAAGCCCTTTTTGTTGATGCTGTCGTCCGAGTGAAACTTTAAGATGATGGCGTCTCCAGCTGAATAGACCTCTTCTGGAGCCTGGGGGGAAGGAAAGAGTTGCAGAGAAAAAGTTTATTCAAGCAGAGTGTAGTAAAAAAAAAAGTTATTTTTAAAGCTCACCCCAGATCCACAGTATCGTCCCAGCCGAGGAGACTTGATGTCAGCGCCGTCGTACAGCTCCACGTAATCGTACCCGCATTCGGCCTCCTCCTCGATCTCGAACACTCGGAAGATGATCTCCACTCCGTAGCCCTTCTCGGCGGTGACCACCCACAGACAGTCAGAGCCACTGGGATAGTTGTTATCTCCAAACTGTGCATGAGAGAACAGATCTTTTGTCTTGACCTCGGCTTTCAGGCTCCCTCCACATCCTGAGAATTCACAACCACAAAATTAGAGGGTCAAAAAAACATGGGGTCTCGTAAAAGTGAGGAAAGAATGCAGATTTCTAAACAAGACAGAAAACTACCCCGTAGTTGAAAAGCCACATTTTTTTGTAGTCTATTCTTTACTGCAAAGGACCATTTTAATATAATTCCACTTTCTTCCTCCCACCTGCTCTGTATGAAACCTCGAAGCCTCTTTTCTGCACAGAGTTGTCTGAGGAAAACCGCAGAAACATTTTGTTGCCACTAGAAATGACCGGAGAAGGTTTCTTGGTGCCGCAGAAGCGTCCTAGACTCGGGGCGCGGACGTCTCGCCCGTCGAAGATCTCCAGATGGTCGTAGGCGCACTCTAGATGGGCCTCCATGTCGAGCTCGTTGAAAACCTGACAGAGATTTTGGAAAACTGTGAATGACCGCAATAATGTGCTCACCGCTTTTACAATGTTTATTTTGGATCATAACCATCATGTTTTAAATTAATGAGAAATGCATTGACGTACGAGTTTGATGCGATGGCCCGGGGTTGTGGACAGAGACCAGGTGCAGGCCTTCTTGCTGGGATATCTGTCAGGCCAGTTGGGGCTGCTGATTATTCCCGACGCACTGTTCACAGCATAATCACAACCGGCTGAAACAGAAAACAAAGAGAGACCCCCTCCCCATCAACCAGTACTCAGATCAAACTCTCTCTTTAAGCGTCCATGTAAACAAGTAATGATCACGATGGCATTGGAATTAACAAAGTGAGCCAACCTGGAAAAGTCTGAGGGGAGGCTCACACTCTCATACTCGACCCCTGGTTTAGGCTGATTACGTATATTGCCTGATGCTCATCCAGTCATAACGCAACATTATAGTATATAGTTTATATACGTTCCTGTATCTACTATGTCTGAGAGAAATGAGTCTAGTTCAACAAAGAGCAAAAGCAATCCAGAGCAGAGGGCTGTTTTTTATCAGTCCACAAATATATCAATTACTATCTTTGTCACTTTCTGGTTGAGTAAAAAAAGTTGGAGGTTTCCTGTACTAGGTTGTGACCTCAGAGGCCTTAACAACAGGAAACATTTTTCTGGCGGGTGTACGGACAACATTTCTTAGGGAAAGGAAACCAACTTCCAAGGGCTTCGCTCACATTTTTCAGTGCAGTTATTTGTCAGTTTATGTGCAAGTAAAAAATTTCAAATCATTTCACAAGCTCAGAACACAATTATTTGTGTATATTTTATTATACCCTTATTTGACTCCAAACTCATGCTCACACATACCACAACCTGCCTCAAGCCAGCGGTTAAGTTTAACTTCAGCTTGAGAAGTTGCATTTTGTAGTTGTCTGTATTGATTTGGGTGAACTGACCCTTTAAACCCTGCAGAGACACACATACTCTACCTTCCTTGCAGTCGTGTTTGTTGTCGTGCAGCGTGAAGCCCCCGCGACACTGGCAGCTGTAGCTCCCGAAGGTGTTCACGCACTCGTGCTGACAGCCTCCATTGTCATCGGAGCACTCGTCTATATCTGTGAACAGACAGGTAACTTTAAGATTTGAATTTTTAACAACAGGCTGCAGACGACCAGCAAAACATAATGAGTTACCATATAAGGTATTTTAGGACAAAAAGGTTTTTCTGTTTTCTAGAAGAAGGAAGAATCTGCTGCAACAACCCTGGATCAAACCTCAGCAAAACATCTCCTGCGTTTTTCACGTGTCAATAATTTTGAAAAGACACACACTTTTTTAAAATTTTAATTGCTTAATAAACTGTAAATAAGTTCCTGTGTAGCCCTTCAGAAGGCAACATATGGACATTAGTCTGTGTTACAATCTTTTAAGTTTCAAGGTATTTATGTAATTCCAGCCACATCTGTAAAACAGTGGAATAAAGCTTTGTTCCTCAGGACCCGTGTGCACATACAAAAAAAACTCCAGCAGTTTTAAACACAAGTACAAAACTCAAAAGTCAATTAAGTGCCTGAGTTAAATTGATCTAAAATAATAGGAACATAATAACGGAATATTTCCCTCCTCAGAGCTTCCTTATGCTCTCCTCCTCATCACTTACCAGAGAAGAAGTGAGCCTTGAAGCCCCTCTTAGACACGGTGTTGTCCGACTTGAACTCAATCCTCATGTTGTTGTGTTGGGAGGTGATGACCTCGGGTTTCTCTGCTCCGCAGAATTTCCCATGAAGCTTTGAGTCTGAGCTCAAGCCACTGCGCACCTCCACATAATCATATTTACACACCTGATGGTAAACACTAGAAGATTTTACTCACTACCAAGGACAAGACGAACATTCTGGTGAAAATCTACTCGTCACATAAACCCTCTGCTGAAAGACAATCAGAAATTCATTGAGAATGTCAACTCACATCGTTCCCTTCGGTCTCGAACACGTCGAACACCAGGGTGATGCGGTACTGGATGGGCGCCACCAGCTGCCACACACAGTTCTTGTTGGGTGGGTACTCTTTGGGCCAGCCGGGGGTGGTGAGCGAGCCGTTCAGCACGGTGATGAACCCACCGCAGGCAGCTGCTGGTGGGAGAGAGCAGAGATTTTAGCGGTAGAAGCGTGAAAGAAAACACTTGCATAACATAAATTATATTTAGTGTTTTCTTTAATTGTTCAAGTGCAGAAAACAATAAACTCTTAAATCACAGGCTGTCCGACTAAGAAATAAAGTGAAACGCATGTAAAATGTAATTTACAGAGCTGGAGCATGTAAATCAAAAGTTGGAAGAATAAAATGATAATATTTTAATACAAATCAGGGAATGTGGCAAATTCTGCAGGAGGAATCAGGGAGAAAACCAGCAGGGGAGTGGTGCCCTCTTGTGGTAAAAGAGAAAACTACCAGGGAATCAAGCTTCAACAAAAGAGATTAGATAATTTTCATGAAAAGCACTTGTGTACTTTTACCAGCAGCCCCAGAGAAGAGCATGAACACATGAAATGTTACATGTAACTTGAAGTATCAATTGATCTTGACGACAAAAATGTTTTTCTGACTTTATTGTCTGATGCCTCGCAGCTGCAGTTCCCAGGTCAGTCTGACAGAAGTTTGTTTGATGCTGATCCAGATGCTGCAGACTGAGCCTTCATGTTTGGTCCAGTTTTTCAAAACAGCCTTTTGTTTACGATGTTTATTTCCTCCTGTGTCACTGTATACTATTAAAAATACTATATCATCATGTGAAAGTAGAGTATGTCAATTCATGATATTTGACATCTACACTCTTAGCTACTTCACTCCTTACAAGAAAACACAAATCTACTAATGTGTAGTTGTGTGTATCTGTGGTCTACACTCACTCTCACAGCTGTGTCTGTCGGCCGCCAGCTCATATCCGGGGTCGCAGGCACACCTGTAGCTGCCCAGCGTGTTCAGACACCGCTGCTCGCAGTGACCGTTGTCAGGTCTGGAGCACTCGTCCATCTCTGGCAAAAATACAAAACAAATCAACAGAGGGGATTTTCCTGTGCCACTAAATGCCACTGTATCATTTCCTGCTCAAACCAAGAACAACCTGCTGACCTTTAAAAAAGTTGGCTGCAAATCCGGCTTTGTTGACTGAACCGTCAGACACGAACTTCAGCCAGAGCTGGTCGGAGCTGCTCTTGATGTCGTCCGGTTTGTCGTAGCCACAGAAGTGGCCGATCAGCCGGCTCTTCTCCGAGCCGCCATCCCTGACCTCCACGTAGTCGTAGGCACAGCTGTCGTGTCTCTCAGTCTGCAGTCGAAGGACAGAAGTTTACAGAGAGACACTGAAGATTTTACAGTCAGTGTTTTTCATAAAATGAAAGTAAATTTGCTTTATTACTGTTTACATATGTGGTTTATCTTTAACTTCTTGTCTGTCGATGAGATAGAGTGAACTAACCTCAAACGACTGGAAAGAGAGGCCAACATTGAAGCCCTCTGCCACTTTGATTTTCCACACGCACATTTTATTGGACTGGTAGTCATCGGGATAATTCGGAGACTGGATCTGGCCACTGTCCCGCGTCACCTCTCCCCCACAGATGGCTTCACATGAGGTGAGAAGTGATACAAACTGACCCAGAGACTCGTTTTCTGTGTTTCCACATTCAGTTCTTCACATCATACAGAGAAATCAAATGTAAAAACATACGTACCTTCATAAACAGCTGAAAAACCTTTGCCCAGCCAGCTGCTGCTGCTCCGGAATTCAATCCACAGTTGACTGTCAGTGGAGACGATGGGATCTGGAAGTGTGTCTCCACAGAAACGACCTGCGCATGAGGGAATAATGACTTCACCTGTCAGAACTGAACTCAGCACTGAAGCTGTCTCAGAATTCTGCAGAGAGGGAAAGAGAGAGAGAGAGAGAGAGAGAGAGAGAGAGAGAGAGAGA